TTCAATATCGGACGTCAAGGCAAAATACCATCCGCATCATATCGACGTCCGTCGTTTCACAACTGAGCGTTTTCTAATTTTTTACCGCGCACCACCACTATGTGGAACCAGCTGCCCGCTGAAGTATTTCCGAACCAATTCGACTTAGGGTCCTTCAAGAAAAGAGCGTACCAATTCTTGAAAGGCCGGCAACGCACTTGCGATTCTTCTGGCAGTGTGAGTGTCCATGGGCGGCGGTATCACTTAACATCAGATGAACCTCCTGCCCATTTGCCTCCTATTACATAAAAACATACACACTATCTATATTATATATTTAACTTTAAAGAGTTCCTCTATCTTGAATTCTCAGAACGAATATTAACCGCCATGCCTTTCTCAAGAAGGGGCAAAGACCACGGATCTCCACTTGCTACGCTCCTGACATACCTCTCTCGTATTATCTGCTATCATAACATTCACCATGAAACTTTTAACTTGTTCAAGTATAACGTAAGCACTATAGAGGGGGTCTTTGATTTTCTTATTTGGTGATTACGTCATCAGTAATTATTTACTTTTTTACACATATTACCCTCACATTGTCTATGTTTGAAAATGAAATGCATTTTCGAGGATTCCTACAAAAATGAATACGTTTATGTATGTATTTTTAACAGCTTTGCTTACTTTTGCTGACAACAGGAGGGGATGGGGATTATATATGCAGTAAATCTGCTTATATAATTCTCGAACGGCCCCTACCTGCTGGATTTGGTCCAGGTATATCCGACAAGGACTATCCAACCCGACTTCACCATTCACGGTTGCCTGGTCCTACTTGTTAGCCGCTATTATTTTTTAATTATTTCTATTTAACGTAACCACGACAATCAAATCAGTTTAGTTTCTTATAAGTTTGCTTATCGTGCCGAAGCCGCGCACAAATTATTTAAAGAAGTCTATTGAGTATGAGGGTGTGCAATTGTTTAATCAATCATAAAAAAATAAAAAAAATAATCAATTACCATCAAAAATTCGTAAGATTAGCGTGTTTAATCAATTCAAAGGAAATTTAGAATGAGTCTAATAGACTAAAATTGGGACAGCTGATGGCGACGCGTATCTCGTTCGTATATTATATTAAGTTTCTCATGTTCTTTAAACATTAAACATTTTTCACTCATATACGTTGCGAAAATGCTGTTCATTTTCCCAATATTCAATATTAGATTAAAACATGCAAAATCAATACTCAACGCTTCAACAATAATAGCGCGGTGGCATTTCGCCAACATTTTAGTAAACAACTTATTAAGACATGTTTACTACAAGAAAATATTATTAATTAAGCTAAAACATAAATCCACAACTACGCTGACTTCTATTTATGACCAAAGCTTTAGATGCTAGATAATGTTTTGTATATAAGAAGATTGGCGATTGATATACATAAAAAACTACGTGTTTAAAATAAACATTTATAAATAAATTAGCTGACCCATGTTTTACCATGTATATTATTTCTAGGAACATTTTTTACTTCAAAAATAACTATCTACAATTTAAAAAAGTAGGGGTTGATCGTAGAGGGGTGTATTTTTGTATGCTGTATCATAAAAAAATAAAAACAAAAAAAAATTCTAAAAATATAAAAAAATAATTTGTGGGGTGGACACCCCTTATCATTTAGGGGTTTGAAAGATATATAGTAGCCGATTCTTAGACTTACTGAATATGCATAAAAAATTTCATAAAAATCGGTCGAGCCGTTTTGGAGGAGTATGGGAACGAACATTGTAACACGTGTGAATTTTATATATTAGAAGATAAGGATATGTTATAGATAAAGATTCACAACGAGTTTGACATACATTTTGTCAGAGTGGATAAAATGGCGTCAGTTTTTATTTGTATGCAGGGGTCAATGAACTCGTGATATACAACATAATTAATAAATAAAATGATTAATCACGCGCAATATTATTTATATTTACTATAACAAACCTTTACCAAAGTGAAATTACATACATCGTTCACGTTGTAGAAACCGGTCCGTCTATATTTAAATTTCCCAACTATAATAAATCTATGTTTGTATGAATAACAAGTTCCAAGTGCATACACAAATTGTTTCTATGATAGAAATGCTTTAATATGGTTAACGAATGGTCTTAGACGTTCTTACATTACCTCGAAGTATTTATTCTTTAAAACCAAAGTCCCATGACTTTGGTTTTGGTCCTCCACCTTAAACAGTGTTAACAAGAATTCTAAAGTGGTTAGTCGGGTCTTAAACATTGTGGAACAAATCGTTGAGGAATTTTGCGTTGATGTCAGATAGGAATTTCAGGTGTAGTCAGAAACTCAGATTTCTAAATCTGTTTCGTGATCATTTTTAAATCTAATAGGAAAGTAGGTGATCAGCCTCTACACGCCTTCGACTTTTTGGGTCTAAGACATGTCGGTTTCCTCACGATGTTTTCCTTCACCGTTCGGAAAATGCTAAATGCGCACATAGAAAGAAAGTCCATTGGTGCACAGCCGGGGATCGAACCTATGACCTCAGGTATTAGAGTCGCTAGAGTTTTATGTATTTTTACTAATTAACCATCGTGACTTAGCCATTTGAAGCCAGATGATATCTTATTTTAATAATCTATTCAACACTACTATAAATAATTGCATATAACTTCTTAAAATCTAGAGGTAATACAAAAATCAGTCCAAACATAAAGTGCGTACGGAGCGTATACGTGCACGTCATCACGTACGCATTGCATGCAGTTTTGTATTTTTAATAAAATTCCATAGAAATCAGCTAAAACAGCTCTATATTTCCACTACTCGCATTGCTGAACATACATTTTTAAATATTTTAGAAATAACCAGCGATAATACCATTGTAATGCTGAAATAACTTTTAAAATCGATCCAATTACTGAGTTTATATTCTCTTTATAATATAAATATATAATAAACCGAAGCCCCATAAAGACTTACTATACCTGAATTTAATATTTGTAAACAGGAATTGGGAAAATTGCCTTATTCCCGAAGGGGTAAGCAGTGACCACGGATCTCTTCTTACTACGTACCTGACATACCTCTCTCGATTTATCTACTATCATGACATTTACCATATAAGCTCGTCAGTTACGGGAATTTTTAACTTCTCTAGTAGCTCCTTATTTCCTTTCGAATTTGGTATGTAATCTAAACTAATATTATAAAGAGGAAAGATTTGTATGTAAGTATTTGTAACGAATTGGCTCAAAAAGTACTGGACCGATTTAAAAATTCTTCCCTTTGAATGCTACATTATCACTGATAAATAAAGGCGATTTGAATTGCAAGAAAAATAAGGATCTCTACTAAAACTACAATAATGTTATCCAAGGTGTAAAAAAATGCCTATAAAATATCTTTCATCGCATGCTCTGCGAAAACTATTGATGATAGAACAAAAAAATGTTCCACAATATTAAAGAACACAACAATATAAAAAAAACTAAAAATGTTTAAATGTCCACGCGTGCGATGCGGGGACCGGCCGCTAGATTTAAATATTTTAGAAATATCCTATCTTACTCAGAGCTTACCATTGAAATCAATTACTGAGCTTGTGTAATACACACACATATACACATTATCTCGATATAAGCATTTAACGCATCGAAACAGCATAAAGATTTACTACAACTGAATTGAATATTTGTAAACATGAATTGTGTAATTGCATTTAATTTGCTACATTGTAATTGAGTTCATTCGAGTCGCGACACAAATTGTGATATGCAAATAGACATTTTACGCTGTGTTCGTGAGATAAGACTAACTAGTAACTATCATTGTTAAGTATATAGTTTGAGTTATACATTTTGTTCATAATCAGCAGAATTTTCCAAATTCCATCTAGAAGATGACGGCTCATTGGTCAAGTAGTTAGTACCCCTGACTGCGAATCCATGGGTCCCGGGTTCGATCCCCGGCTGAGACAAACATGGATGTGATGAGCATTTGGTGTTGTGCTTAGGTCTTGGGTGTTTAAATATGTATTTATATGTGTTAGGTCTATCTATAATATGTATGTATATCCGTTGCCCATAACACAAGCTTCACCAGCTTAGCATGGGACTAGGTCAATTGGTGTGAATTGTCCAATCATAAAAAAAATAAAAAGAACCAACCAACCAGGCACCTCTCATTCTAATTTTTGCGAATATAACATAATAAACACTACTTATCCAGAGCTTGATATTCCGTAGTGGGATGATCAATAAACAAAAAACATTGTTTAGTGCCTAACTGATACCTAATCCGCTGTTTTACATATTGCTAAGCAAAAAATTACTAGTAAAATCTAAAATTTTAAGTGTACTATTATTTTTATTGTCTATAAAATTTATGACCATAATTATTGAATAATAGAGAGCGCTAGTATAACTATGTATGTCTATGTCGATTTTGACATACCCTTAGAATCTGATGATCAATCTCACCCCAAATAAAAGCTTTTAATGAAAAGAATTGAAGTATGAAACAAGAAATATTTAAAAAAAACTGTCCTGCTATGTTCCAACATTCTTCAGTAATTACTCTACTTAAAGTGTACTCAATATTTTCTTAATAGCTTAAATGCTAAAAAAACATTTTCCGCCTTAACATAAAGGGTGTTAGAAAATATGTTGGGAAGCAGGAAGACTTTGACTTTATTTAGCAGAAGTAACAATTTCTTTTGCTTTAAAATATGTGGTTGTATTTTGTTTAATTTCGGTTTTCTTTTTTTATCTATTTATTAATACTTAATTGACCTATGTTTTTTTCTTTAATTTTTTGTTTAACAATGTATTATTTGGCTTTGTATATAGGTGTTTTTATTTTTAATATGTGTATATATATATGTAGCTGTAAGGTTACTTTAGTGCTATCAACATGGCGTCACCTAGTTTACCATAAACGTGATGTATCGCTATATATATATCTTCAAAACACAAAATAAATAATCTGACAAATCTCACCTGATGCACTGAATAAGGCTCATCCTCTGCACCGTCCTCGCGTGGCCTGCGCGCGCGCACTGCTGCACCTGGTAATTGTACGACATCAGCATGCGATCTGCTTGCTTGCTGTAGGCGAACATTGCGCCCATCGTACGTCTGTAGCCCCATTTGGCCTCCTGCATTATATGGCCAATTAGTGTTTAAACTTAGGACTGGTAAACTAACTACAATACCCCAGAATGCCAGAGTAGAAGCTCTGTTCTCTTCAGCTCTAAGTTCAACATTAATAACTAAATATACCCCAATGTGACCAAACAAATTGTGACGGCAATAAGTACAATGTGTCAGCCATTGCATTGACAGCTTGAAGCTGTTTCAAATTTAAGCAATTTTGTAGTCCTTGAATAATGTATTAATTCAAAAAAACAAACAAATGTTTATATTATAATGCAATATTGATTATACTGTTACTTTATTGACACATAGGTAGCCTATGGATATTGTAGCGTTATTTTGCCCCAATCCGTAAATAATTTTATTAAAAACCGGGTGCAGCAAATCGCATGAGAACGTATTGGTACCATGTTAAGTTATAATGCCCATCGACACTCACATTTATAAAATAAATTCATCACATTAATTTAGCAGCTTTACCATTTTAAAACACGACTTAAATAAAAGATCATTCTCGAATCCACTTGAACACACACAAACATTTCATCAAAATCTGTTTAGATGTTTAAAATTGAATACCAATACAAAGATTTACCCTTATAAATCAATAAAATAAATAATACTTATTCTTTGTATTGTAATTTGTAACCATTCAATAGAAATATTTAATTATTTACATTGGCGACTGGCGTTGTTAAACTCGTGGTTTCCATCTTCGTTTAATCATAATCATAATATATATAAATTGTTTTAAATAATTACAAATAATGAGATAATCACAGAGATTTATCGCCTTAAAAAAGTGCCACAAAAATATTCTAAACATTCAAATGTTTACAATAATGGGTCGATTTTTTTTTTAACTAAAACAATTATGACTTCTCATTAACGGTTTGAATCTCAGTCAAAATCCAAATTAAAAATTAAGATACCAATACGTTCAATTTGTTAAACATATGTTATAACTTATAAGCAACGCACTATGTTACCCATAAATTAGTTATAACGAAATAATTATATTAAAACATATTATTTAGTCATCAAACCAAATGTAGGTACAATATCACATTTCCAGCTGTTTAAATATCACATGCACTTGTTAAACATATTTATACTAAAATAACCGAACAACAGTGACCCAAGTAGAATGATGAAATACATAAAAAACTTTGAAACATACATACGCAGGAGCATGAGAAAGGCAAACAAAAGACTCAACATTATTATTAATAAGATTTATTATTCTCACAGAGTAATTGTATTGCAATGAAATCTCTTCAGATATTATGCAATACAACGCAAACATTTCTATACTTAGCTGCAAATGGGTGGCGCGACAGACAATACCCTTTATAATACATAGATATTCATGGATGACTGAGTCTATATGGTCGGGTCCTATTCATGAACTAAATAAAAATATCTGTTTAAATTTCAAAGAAACCTTGCGAAATTCTTATGCAATACGCCTCTTTTAGTTGTGTGGCTGATGAAATGATAAAGTAAATGTTTAAGTTAAAAGTTAATTAATTTTTAATCGATAAATATATATTTTATGTAGTTATGTTATTATTCAAATAATACTGTTTCATGTGATTTACAATGTTTTTAGGAGAAATGGTAAAAACTAAAATTTATATTAAATCGCAATTAGTGCAGTATCGACATAATGGCTTCAGCGTAACTCATATCCCTGAGATCGTAGTATCGATCCCCGGCAATGCAAGAATAGGTATTCTGTTTATGTGAGCATTTAACATTCTCTCTTACGATGAATAGTCCATTGAAATGTTACAATTTGAGGGACAAACTTAACATTTGTTAGAGTAATTATAACTTTTTGAATTTTGGATTTATGATAAAAAGTTACAAAGACATAATTGTAGGCACAGCGATTTGCTACAAAATGTGTCTTTACAAGTTTTATGTACGATGGATAGTTTAGGAGATATAGCCAAAAACGTGGTTTTTGGACCCCTTTTTCCAAGATGGCGGCCGGGGGACAAGCACGCCAACCCCACAAACTTGGAGTTAAGCTTGTATTGACCCCCCCTACATGTTCCATAAATAAAATTGCGTCCTCTAAAAAACGCAACCCCAAATGTAACTTTTCAATGGACTAGAAGGAAGACATGGTAAAGAAACCGGCAGGCCTTAGACCCATAAAACTTTTTAACTTTTTAACAATTCTTTTTACCATTTTAAACACATATATATGATCACGAAACATACAGAAATCTAAGGCCCCTAAAAGCGTAGCGTAGATATAGCGCCATTGGTTTTCTTATATTTAATCGATTAAAACAATAAGAACTTTTATAATAATACAAGTTCTTTTAAAAAACTCTCAGTACACTTGGATAAACATATAAGCTTAATAAGTTCTCGTTAGTAAAAAATTATCTTATCACACTTCAACTTAGGAACAATCACAACAACGGAAAGTTTCGTATTCGTTGGCATAGTAGGTCGATTCTTCTGTTCTAACTGAGTAAGATATTCAAATATTTAACACTTATTTACACCTATAAAGAACTACTAAGATTCTGATAATTATATATATCTTTTTTTTTATCTGAACGTGAATATAAAAAACTTTAGAGGTGTCAAGGGACACCCGGATGGAACGAAATTCCTTTCGATTAATTTATATGTTAATTGGTATCATAACAGTATGATAGATTTTCTCGACACCAATCTTACGACGAAAAAAAAAGCCAACATTACGAGGTGTTCTCAGGCGGTCACCCATCCAAGTACTGACCTCGCCCGACGTTGCTTAACTTCGGTGATCGGACGAGAACCGGTGTATTACAATAGCAAATAGCAAAAAAGTGTCGTGACAACTTTTCGTAAGAATTTTTTCCGTCTAGCCCCCTTTCACAACGCGCGATAAGGAACTTCGTTCCAATAGTAACGACCTCCTGGTTAAATAGGTTCGGATCCGGCCAGAGCACAGATTATGAATGAATTGTGACCAGTTGCTAGGTCAAAGTCCAAAAAGACCTTTTTAGTTAAAGACTTTTTAATACAAAATTGACTACTAAGTAATTCTTGGCTCTAGATGGAATACTTAAAAACTACCCCTGACCCTATATGATATATAGATGATAAAACCCTTAAGGATGTATAGTTGATACTTAGATGACTCATTACTACTGCACGAATAGAATAAATTGTATGTAACGTTCATACAAACAAGCGCACGCAGTATTTTACAGATTACAATACAATTACTGTAGGATACATATAATTTATGTTAAAATTAAATTATAAAATACAATTTACATTTAACTAACAACAACAGTTATACTTACAGAAACAGTAATAAAATATTTAAAAAAACAATAAAACGTATCTGACTGGGATAATATAGCCATCCAATGGAGAATAAAATTTTGAAATCTTTATTATTACACTTAACCAAATTAACGTCCGTATCGTATAATACTTAAATTTAGTGTCAAGAGATAATATTTAATAAACCATTTATTCTATATGAAACTAAAGGCAATTTTAAAAAATAATATCGATTTTGATTACATTAAACACGATTGTTTATATTATTGTATTAAAATTTTATAATTCATTAATTTTTGTATGTATTTTTAATAAGCAAGATAAAAAAATGCCTTGAATCCTAGGTCGCAAGTATAATAAAATGTCTAAGGTGATATCGACCAAGTCTAAATCTAGACTTATGACTGCTTCAGAGATTAATGTGTACATAATATGATAAATGATTCATCTGTGAACACAAAACGACGTAGGAAATTTACTTGACACATAGAATAGACCCTTATCGGTATTTACATATGAGTCGTACGATATCCAGAAATTATGAATATATAGACCGTCAAAGCCAGACTGAAATAACATTAAATCGGGCATATTACATGGAAATATATGCTTCAGCGATTCATGTATATTCCAATGACGGTCATTTAAATTAATTATTATAAGAAAATTATCAAATATTTAATTAATTAAATACATGATATGTAATTTGAAACAATCGCGAAATTTCAGTTATCCCAACCAGTTGAAAGAAATGTCTTAAATGTTTGTTTCGTCGCTCAACAGCTCGTTACCAACGCTTATTGTTTGAAATAAAAATATTCCCGTCCCATTTTTGTACAAAAAGTGGTTACTCAATGCACATACTACGCCGTATCTAATTGACTACTGTGAAGCAAAGAAAATACGTTGTGATATGAAGTTATTTGTAGAGTGACCTTGGTACTCCGTTAGTTTCATAAACGACATTGGACAAGGTCAAATATTACTTATCTAAGGCACTACAGCCTAAACATAAAAGTTTTCCTACTTCGAGACTTAATATTTGATCGGCACACGTTCTTGTTTTCCGTACTTCTCCTATTTATCATATCATCGAACCATTGTTTCCAATTTATAAACAGATAACTCTTTAAGTAACTTCAAAATGGCGGATATACTTATCAAATGTCACACTGTTTTAAAATCATTGAATATTAACAAAAACAGCCATTGTATCACGAAGGTTTCCTCCACTGTATAAACAGTACAAACTGAGCACAGATCATTTGCAAGCCTCAGCATAGCTGCAGCAAACACAGCTCTAAAATAATAGAGATCCAAAAATAGTGTGAAAACGCAAACATCTAAGTCAATTAAGGTTCATTATTCTCTGTCGATTGATTAGTCGGCTATTTCTGCGCAATACATTGCCAATAACGCGAATTAATGATAAAAAACGTAAACAAGATCCGAACGTTATGTGAATGAAACAAAATTAGCATAATAATTAACATTGAATTTTTATCATTTGATGTTCTTTACATTGGTACCAAGGTCCGTTTATCACTTCCGAAAATTCATGGCTTTCATACTTTTTTTTTTTTTTATGATTGGACAATTCACACCAATCGACCTAGTCCCATGCTAAGCTGGTGAAGCTGTTATGGGTACTAGGCAACGGATATACATACATACTATAGATAGATATATAAATACATATTTAAACACCCAAGACCTAAGCACAACACCAAATGCTCATCACATCTATGTTTGTGTCAGCCGGGGATCGAACCCGGGACCCATGGATTCGCAGTCAGGGGTACTAACCACTAGACCAATGAGTCGTCTTGTTAAATAATGTAAAAACCTATGATCCATATCAGCACTAAGTCGTACCAAAAGCGCAAATATTATGTTTAAATAGGAAAAAACAAATGTTTCCGAAATCTGAATACAGGCTAGATGTGCATGGGCTGTAAATAAATAAATAAATGTACAGTAGAATTAACACAGATTTCCAACGGCACGAAAATGGACAAACGGGTTAGGTGACTATTTTATTGAATAGTTAGAGAATTTCGTCGTCAATTATCACTAGAAATCCGGATCTATGACAACCAAGGAGAAAAGTTTATGTTGCTATGCCTGACACATGTACTATATTTTAAGAAGTTGTTCCACTTTTTATTTTTGCACGTGTATCAGGGTCAGGCTGGGTTATGAATAATTTTGCACCGTCTGAAGTAATATCACAATAGAAAGTGTTTTATTTCCAAGAATTAAGGCTATTGCAGTCTATTATAGATAATATAGGTATTGGAAGAAGAATTAAATTAAAAACTAGAGATGTTTTCATCGTATGAAAAATTGATTTTTTTAATGAATTCGTAAATTACTGAAAATTTCACTATAGTACGATTGTGAAACGTTTAGATCAAGACTTTATCGTCCGAGTACGTGTTTTACGAGAGAACTACATATATACTGTATTGTCAAACAGTATAATTTACACCGACGCGAAGTTGCGGTTAATTTATGCGTAGACGCCGGCTGTATAACAGTTAGGGATACAATAACATTTAAAAAGACTGCTGATATTACTATAAATAAACAGCATATGTTTTACGTTTTAACGACACTAATTCCATATACATTCATAACTTTAAAGCAGATAGCTTTTTCTATTTTTCCAAAACATAAGTTTGATAAAGAGGATGCGTAATTTTAACTTAAACATGCCTAAGTTACATCGTAAAGAATAAAACCGGCTTAGATTTATCTTTTCTACTTAATACACAACATCTATTTCTATATTAAAAAACCAAGTGCCCCAGTGAGAAACAGTTTCTGGGTTTCTTCACACAAAGTATGTTTGAAAAGTATGATTACTTAATCAATTGGATTCTAAACCCTCAACATTAATTAATTCGTCATTCATTTCATCTCCTCAATGTGTAATTTACCATTTCTAATCATGTCTATTTAATAAACAGTAATAACCAAACATGCAACATTGCATGCATCCATTAACATTAAGGAAAATTGTATTTTCCTGTGAACTACGCACAATTTACTGATTTACAACCGTTCAATATTTATTTTGACTTTGCTATTGAAAATACATTCATGACATTGAACACAATTATAAAGAGAACAATGTCATAATTTAACTTGAGTCTGTTTGCCTTTTCCAAAAGTACTTCTGCGTGATATAACTTTAATATTGATAACATTAATCTTTATTAATTCATCATCATTACTGAACCTTGAACAATGGTAATGAATCTGTATTATTGTAATTTATTATGTTTATTGTTTTTTTACTGCAATATTTCGGTTTTGTATGACTCAGGAACAAACTACTTCAAATAATAATAACCTTACCTGGTGTTTTGGGATTTTAGAACAGACTCTTTTAGAACTAGTAGTATTTGAGGATGGTGGGGGTGGTGGTGGAACGACCACACCTTTAGATGATTGCAGACGCGTCTTTACAACTTCTAGAGGGCAGGTAACTACTGCTCCCGCTGTACCTGCTACCCTGTGGATTTATATATATTTTTAAACATTTTAAAACTAATGTGTAAAAATTTAATCAAAACATTAATTCTATTATAGAATTTTATCAACAATTTTATCAAAACGGTTATCTGAATCTTTTGCTTTTACCATTGACATAATATATGACTATAACCTTAATAATTTACATAGGTAAACTTTCTCCAATAGTAATGCTGCAACAACAGCAAATTTACATTAATCAATAAGAAGGCTGTCTTACCCAAAAATACCCCCTAGTGAACTAGCTATTTGATTGTATTTTGCATGTTAATTCTTGTTTAATTTTCAATTACCACTAATAACTTATAACAAAAATCGTTCTTAATAACAAATTGTATTAAATTATTTACGTCGATCAAGCAAACTATTGTCAATAAAGATATGCGCCGTATCTGAGCACATGTATCGACGAAAATACGAAGGTCTACATCAAAATATGCAAATAAGTTAGGCATTCTTATTATCTAATTTATAAAAGTTAAACACACCCTCCGGCAACCAGATGAATAGCTGTATCCCTTTGAGACATTTTAGCGCCACCAGAATAACAACATGACTGCAAGTCTAAAAATAAACAAATGCACCACTACCACATCGAAAATAGCAATGTCTACACTTGTATTTTAGATTCAATAAACAAGTTAATATTTTCCACAAAGCGAATATATGAAAGTATAACTCTGGATGTTGTCGTTAAAAACACTATAGATACACTGGAAATTTTCTTGCTTTTCTGAAGAACAAGAACGATTTATCAATCCGCCGGTCACGTACGCCGCATCGAGCAAACATGTAAAATGAGCAAAAAAAACTAATTTATGTCATGGAGCATTGACTATTGATAAAAATTAAAATGACAACACAAAATGCTGTCTTTATTGTCGACTGTCAGATGAAAGTCATAAGATAATGTCAATTGTTAAGTGGCCGCCCAACTCCCAACAGAGTGCACGCAACTATTATACGACCATGAGTCTACGGTCTCAACTCTCAGTTAAGTTAAACCTAAAGCTGCGTATAAATTAAGCGCGGCAAACCATCGAACATTGGCGCGCGCGGCGGCCGCGCTCTATGTAGACGGGATCGCCGCGCGCGGCGACTCGAACATTGCCGCGCTCGAACGTGCCGCGGGTCGATCCGCTCGCTGTCGGTTTTTGAGACCGCATCAAAGGAGCTACAGTCGTTGGCTCGCGCACAGTTGGGACGGTTATAGTTTTGGTGATTTGGCTCGCGCGGCGAATACGTAAAAAAGGGTGCGTACATATACAGTTGTACATATATAAAGTTGGATTTAAATATTGATGACAAAGCTATAACTTATAAAGTAACTAATATAACAATTATATATTAATTACATACAAAAAATGGGTGCGTGTACTTATGTACGCCCGTAAGAAGTTATACTTCTCTGGCATTATTAAAAATAGTTTTTGTAATAATGCCAGAATAGAAAAATAGTTTAAATTACATACAATTAAATAATCTAAGACTGGAAAATTAAATAAATAAATATTTATTTTTCTTTTATTTTTTTTTACAAATAAGATGGTGAATCACAATGAAAGCGGCAGCCGCCCGACCACGCGCGTCCATACTCGCAGGTTTACAAGAGTGAACTGGTCTGACTATCCACCGCGGTCTGTTCGTGATGGATCGCCTGCCGCGCGCGGCAGTCACGTCCACCTAAATTTATATACTACATATTGGCTCGCGCGGCAAATGAACGTCAACTCTGCCGCGGCTGCCGCGCTTAATTTATACGCAGCTTTAGATGTGGTATTACTAGACTGAGTATTTGCATTATTAAAAACAATGTTACATCGCTTTTACCCCAGTATCTCTAAAAAAGTAATAGCAATTTTTTTGTGAATTCGAAACCGTTACTTTAATAATCACATAGCAAAAGCCAACTGAAAAGCTATTGTTTGCTTGTAATTTTAAAAAATTGGGAAGTTTCGTTAAAGTGTCGCGTATGCAGTTTATAAGATACATTTCGAACATTCGCATTACATCAGGGTTATATTTCACCAATATAAATATTGAAAGGGTATATACATATATATATATATATATATATATAATTAGCAATAAAAACTGCTCGCCGAACCTGGTTTTTGTCAGGACATAGTTCAAAAGCACCCAGTGGTGCTACAACCTCTTGACCTTGGCGTCAGATTTCTTCTGTGCCTAACACATGCCATGGATTTGGCGTCAGGTTTCCTCACGATGTTTTACTTGATCATGCCAGAGAGTGTTAAATTCATCACACTTGTAGAAAAGTTATTTAGTCTCAAGACCATAATTATACAATCTTTCACTGTTTTCATCTATTTCAATTTCAGTCTAAGCCGAACTTCATGTTAGCCCGTTAAAGTCTTCCTCATACATCATATGTCAAACTTCAAATGTCATTCTTTATAGTTCATAATTCATATTATTTATAATTTATATACACCAATTTTGTTACAACTTACAAGCGTGTGCATTAGAAAATAAATAATGAATACGTAGTTCACCTTAGTTTTCAATAAAGTCGTATCAACAAAGAATCTAAAAACTATTAAGAGCGTTTAGAAATGTCTAACTTTATTTATCTGGAAACGTTTAATAGCTATGATGACTATAAACAAACTCTAACCTTAAAAGTGCCAATAGAATCACTGATTTCTTATTGTATATACAAATACTGTTGTCCAGATAATGTCAAGTTATATTTTACTAACACTAATATATCTGCAAGCCGTGTGAGTCTTGAGTTACGTGTAGAGGACGTAAGCTTTCTAGATCCATTAAAAATTCCTTGGCAAGCTTCATGCTGTGTGTTTCCCGTAGTACTCTATGAGGACACTGTAATTACAGGTCTGTGCGCAGTAGCCCGTCATATCTGCAAGTACAGAAACTCGACACATGGTACTAATGAACATGAAGAAGGTTTGCTAGGATTCCGTAAAAGTTGCCTTCAAGCACCAAATGAAGTTTCTATCTGGACAAAATTTTGTGAAATTGATATAATAAAAACGGTTTTAAAAATACTGGAGTTATCAGAACTGTGTGAAATACCTCTTAATATGGTCCGATTTGAGAACCATTTAAGTAAACCAGTACGGATTCATAATGTGTATAAGGTAGCTAGGGATATGAAAAGGGAGACTTTGGAAAGTATAAAGAATACATCTTCGCCCGAGAGAAATGAAACAAAAGACATATTGGATAATCCTAGAACACCCAAACCTAGAAAGTGGAAGTCTAATATAAAGAAAGATCTTGAAATAAATTGTTCCTTAAAAACTGAAGAATTGAGCATAAGTCACCAATTTGCTGAGGGTCCCTTCTTAACATTAGCTGACATAATATTGTTTCCATCTTATTATATATTTCTCAAGTTACTAGGACAAAATAATCTAGAAAAGTTTTTACCACTCTCATTTAAGTGGTACAAAAACTTAAGCAGTATATCAGAGTTGAAAATACTAACGCTTATTTTAAATGAAATAAAAAACATAAAAACTGTATCAATACATAATTTGGTACTGCCTGAAGCAGATGATGTGAGTTTATACAAATCTGATCCAAAGAGACATAATCCAAAAAAGAGGTTATTTACTAAGCCTGAGGATATTGAGAATGCAATAAATACTCTTACAAGTGACTTAGAACTAAATATATTTTTAAATGAAAATAATAGTAGTATAAATTGGCAAACAGTACCTGATGGAGCAAACCCATCAGCTGGGCACTTACCTGATGTAAGGGTGATTAGGAAATCACAACAACTTGAAAATTTAACATTGGCAGTTACATCTATGGCTCAAGATGGAGATTTGATTGTAGACTTCTGCAGTGGTAGTGGACACTTGGGAATACTAATTGCACATCTATTACCTAAATGCACTGTTATACTTTTAGAAAATAAAGAGCAATCATTGCTAAGAGCTAGGCACAGAGTACATGAGATGGGATTAACAAATGTATTCTTCTTTCAGTGTAACCTAGACTTTTTTATAGGCAAATTCAATATTGGTGTTGGTTTACATGCATGTGGTATAGCAAGTGATCTAGTATTGGATAAATGTTTAAAGGCCAATGCAAAATTTGTTCTATGTCCCTGTTGCTATGGGTCTCTGCAAGCCACAGATCGACTGAAATATCCTAGGAGTAAGAGATTTAGTGGTATTTCTATTGATAACTATTTATGTATTGGGCATACCGCTGATCAGACTCATGACAATCATCCTCTTACTGAAAGAGGTGCCCGTTGTATGGCTATTATTGACTCGGATCGTGGAAGGTTAGCTGAGGAACATGGCTATACAGTGACGTTATCTAAATTAAAACCTCTGTCTTGCACTCCAAAAAATAATCTCCTACTTGGTGTACCTTCATGAAATAAAACTCATGTATATAAACATGCTTTATTAAATATACAATTTGTTACAACTGTCTTTTAAACACTAACTTCTAGTTAAATGTTTTACATTGTTAGTAATTTTTCCTTATATCTTTGTATGCCCCGCATATTATAATGAAAACTATCATATAAAACAAATAGCAACCGAGTCTGAGCACAACTGCCTGCAGTGGTACTCTGTAACTCAATGGCTTGAGCTTTACAGAAAAAGTCAGGATAACTAGTGTGAATTGCAGTTACAGAGTACCGGCGCTATTTCCAACAGTCTAGCTTAAAAATACATAACATATGGCAGTAAATTGTAAACAAATTCTCTTAAAATATGGCAAGGTAATCACAAGTGTTTTGGCTGATTATAAAATTGTGATAAACAGCCTTTTATAATATCGTTTTCATATCAATCACACTTGGCATAAACAATTGCTGTACGGCATGGAATATATACCTGAAAAAAATATGTTATATAGCCTGATATGAGAACCACATAAATATATAATACTCAAAAAATAACTAAGAAAAAGGAAACAGAAGTGTCTTTAAACTCTGCTCCCGCTTGGAGCGTATTAGATAGGCAAAAGTTAGCAATTTAGCTTACTAACTCGTTATAACAGTACGGATTCATAATGTGTACCTGTGGAAATGAAAGCATTTATATTGTAAAGAGTCTAAATCATTACCCTAAGGGAATGAACAAATTGAGTATTAACCACAAACTTGTCAGCTTTTAGACTTTCAAGTTCGGTATAGAAGTGGATGCTTGTCTAAGCTAGGTTAAAACGATAGCGGGATAAAAATATTAATATTTGGAATTTACCTGAACCGAGTCTCTCCTATTACCCCATCCACTATTTAAGGTGAAATGAAACTCGCCGTCCGGTTCTACGCGACCAAAGCCGCCATATTTCTTACTATCAGAGCATAACACCGCCTAAAAATAATAATCACTTATTAAAACATAAACACAGGGCGCAGAAGTGGTGAGTTCCAATCACGGCTGTGTACCAATATGGACTATTCTTTTGATGTGCGCATTAACGAGGAATCTCATGCCTATCGTAAAAATAAGTGTCAGTCACAGAAGGCTGATCACCTTCTTGCTTATTAAGAAAAATAAATCATCACAAGACAGATATAGAAATCTGAAGCCTGTTTTTTTTATAGAAAGGGGCAAACGGGCAGAAGGCTCGCCTGATGTTAAGTGATACCGGCCGCCCATGGATACTAAATGCCAAAGGGCTCGCGAGTGCATTGTCTGCCTTTTAAGAATTGGTAAAACTACCTAAAAGGTTTTTTTAAACATAAAAATCTTAATCCCTGGTAAGCGTGCTATCAAATTTTGTACCAAATTAACAGAAAAATTAAAATATAAACAGGCAAAAGGCAAATCTTCAAATTACGCAGAAAGCTAGAAAATTCTCAACTTAAGAATAATAACTTTATCTTCTATATTTTTCACTTTTAAATTCGTTGTTCTTGAGTTCGATCCCGGCGGTGAAGTTTCTGAATACTGCTTACTGAAATAGTTTGAAAAGCCGAAGTGTGCTGATAAAACACATCCTTACCTGGTATTTCCCGGGCACATCCACCCCGACTCTGTAATCTGTGAAACTTTGTGAAGGATGGAAGTTGAAGACAAATAGCAATCCAGCTCGCTCGAACGCTACCACCTTATCGCCTTCGTGCTTGCAAGAAACATAAGCCTAAAAATATTTATTAAAATATTAAGAAATAACCATTTATCGACACAATAAATCGTATAACAGCAAAAATAAAAGAGCTAAATTGGTTCCACTTGGTAGAGAAGACAATTTAGGAAAACATGAACGTAAAAACAAATGTTTAGTTGTTTATTTATAGTACGGGGCAAACGGGCAGGAGGCTCACCTAATATTACGTGATCTTGGAAACTCTCAATGCCAGAGGGCTCACGAGTGCGTCACCGGCCTTTTAAGAATTGGTACGCTCTTTTCTTGAAGGGGTCTTCAAACTCAAACTATCTTTATTCATATAGGTAAATAAGTACACTTATGAATCGTCACAAAGAAGTTAAATTAATTGTAAATTTACATTTACTACCAGTTCGCAAGTCAAGGGCGTAGAGCGGGTAAGAAGAACTGGCAAGAAACTTTCCGCCACTCTTTTTAATCGCCAAATATTGTCATACAAATTGTTTGAACTGGAGCAAATCAATCCCAAGGATTAGGATCATTTAAGTATTCGTCAAATTGATTTATTTACGTTTAACGAGGGCTTTGAATTTATTAAGTGATAATTCTCTAATTTCGTTTTTGGGATTTTGTTGTAAAAACGAATACAATTTCCATATAAGCAGTGGTTTATCTTCTGGAACCTGGTTGGTCGTACACTCAAATTAGTTCCATTTCGCGTATTATACTGGTGAAAGTCACTATTTGTTTTAAAATCGTTTATATTTTTTTGTACGTACAACAAGGCTTCAAGAATGTATTAACCAGATAGTGTCATAATATTTAATTCTTTAAACTTATTCCGTACCGACTCCCTCGGAGAAACACAAAAAATACCCCGAACAGCCCGCTTCTGCAGCAGCACCCCACAGTAGAATACCGTACGACATAACGCTGGGAAAGTAGCTATGATACACAATTGCTGGCGTAGTCTTGCTCTTTCGTGAATTTTGTAAACGTTGTTGACATTCATAAGCATGCTCTAAGAAGCATCTAAATTGAATAAACGTATTTTGTTTTGATTTGATTTGATTTTAGCCGTGACCTGTCGGATTTTCTTACTGCATATGCTCCAGAGCTTAGCTTGAAGTGGTGGTGCGCGGCATAAAATGCCTTAAAAACGCTCAGTTGTGGAACGACGGTCGTCGAGGTGACACGTGATAATTAAAGAAATATATTTAGAAATTTTAATAATTGATCGCTTCAAAATGTAAGAAGCTTACAAAATATTTTTCTTAACAAAAAACTACGGTTTTGATTTAAGAAATGCAAATTTTTTATAAAGCAAGCCTACCTATACGAGAGAAAAACTATGTATATACAACTTTTAAAAATCTAAATAATAGGGATTTAATCTATTAAACCATTGTAAAAATATGAATAGCGTCTTAAAGACTACTAGTAGACCGTACTAAAAAGATTGCGCGCCTTGGAACTCTTTGGCATTTGCTTCTCACTATAATGTTAATGTCTCTAATATTTGCGCATAATTTATTTCATCTCATATTGAATAAATACTAGGCGATTAAGAAGAGCGATTATGCCAGTTGTTCTCATAAGTTCTACTTGATTTCATAAGGGCCTTAAATATTTTCTTTGGAGATACAAAAATCGGCCATTTTCTTCGACCCAATACATTTGTTAGGCTTTAGTGGGTCGAGCCAGTTGCAAAGTGTATTTGTCCCAGGCCCCAGTACGTTATGAATATTAAGTAAGCAATAAGTTATTTCAAGAAGTTAATGAAGTTTAAAACTAGTACGTTATAGTAGTATAAAGTAAAACAATGGTTATCATTATTTTTATATGGCAAACACATTAAACACACAACGTTACCATGGTAACACATGGTATTAACGTTGGCTTAAATCCACGCTTAATAATGAGGCCGTGTGTGTATGTTTAGAAAACGTTATTAAAGATTTTTTTTTGCTCAAGAGGCAGGCTTAAGCTTTTCGACAATACCGCCTCCGCAGTTTTGAAGTTTGACATTGAAATAACACGAATTGTTAATATATTTTAAAAACTTACCGGATTCGACCTCAACCACCCATATTTCTCTTCAAGCATTTGCATGTCCCTATCAAAATTATTCAGGTATTTATATTTGAGTAATTCATTGTCAACTAACGGCCACTGTCTTCGTGCGTAGTGATATGACGAATTGTTGCCCGCTCGAGGGAAATCCAACCATTCGGGGTGACCGAATTCGTTACCTGGAAAAAATATTCATTTATAATATTAGTAGGATAAATAAGTACCAATATGTCTGCACCAAGAGATCTAAGGTCACAGACGGAGCCCTACGGGTAGGATCAAAGGTTCAAGGTGGTATTATCTCACGATAATTAAGGGTCGTTCCACAACTGAGCGTTTTCCAAGGCAGTTTTTGCCGCGCACCACCACTATGTGAAACCAGCTGCCAACTGAAGTATTTCCGAACCAATTCGACTAATGGTCCTTCAAGAAAAGAGCGTACCAATTCTTGAAAGGCCGGCAACACACTTGAGAGCCTTCTGGAGTGTGAGTGTCCATGGGCGGCGGTATCACTTAACATCAGGTGAGCCTCTTGCCCGTTTGCTTCCTATTACTTTTAAAAAAACCTAGATGAATAAATGACTTTTGAATATTTGAATTTTTAAAGGAATGGTATGAAAAGAATTTATTTTGTAACTTACCGATAAAATTTAGGTACGCCTCCCCGCCCAAAGCGTGTGTGATAAGTCTTATCATACAGTGTAAGGCAAGTCCTCGCTCTATCACTGGATTAGGATCACTCAGCGTACTCATGTGGGAGTACATATCTTTGTCCATAAGCCAAAATGCGATTGTCTTATCGCCAACAAGGGCCTGGAATTTCCGAACAAAAATAGTATGAATACGCATTGCGTGATATGAACGGGGAAGCTTAAGTGGTTTGGCCACGTAGAACGGATGAATGAGCGGTATTGAATTCGTGTATGCGGTGGTGTTAGTTATTTCGACTATGTATTTGCGTGTTGTTCCCACGAGAATGTAAGTGCGTGCTCCTATTTCAACATGCCTCCTGCTGATAGAGGACAAATCTATGTTTTTTAATTTATTTTATTATTATTAATTTCTTAAGATGTCATGTGTCAACATGGTGTAATGGTTACAGCTCCTTACAAGTATTGTGTAAAACAAAAAACTTGACGATTAAAAAGAGTGCCGGAGATTTTATTGGCAGTTCTTCTCTTCCGTTCTACGCCCTTGATTTGAGAACTGGTAGTAAATGTAAAATTAGAAGCATTTAATGTATATTTCTTTTTTGACGTTCATAAGTGTACATTGTGTTACCTATATGAATAAATGATTTTAACTTTGACTTTGGTGATGTCGGATCGGGTAGGCTTTCTTGTAACTGGACCAAACCCAGGACGTGCTAGAGAAGGAACGGGTCAAAAGTACCCATAATCGAGAATGACCGTAGTAAGTGGAGATCCGTGGTCTCTGCCTATTTTTTATTTTTAAGGTTGCAAATGCAGGAGTCTAGGCTCCGAATATGGATGTGCCCCATTCGGTGTCTAGACCCTTGGTCTGTGCGGTTCTAGCGCTTTAACGCTTTTTAAGTAAATAGCTAAAAGGTTAGTCGACATCACAGGAGCAAGGAATTAGTCTAGCTATTTGAAGGGGAACGCTGCCAGTATCTTCGGAACCTTGCCAGAAGAGACTCCTTTTAATTATATATTTTAGTTATTATATTATATTTTTTAAGGTTTTTAGTTTTAAGTTCAATAATTGTAATAGTAGTTTGTTTCACTTCATGTTGGCAAAAAGAAAAGTTAGAAACTCAACTAATCTATGTACACTTATGAACGTCACTTTCAAGGAATAAAATCATAATCGGCAAAGCAATAAACTAGGATTAGTATTAATTTTATATTTTCTATTGCTCTTCAATGATGGAATAAGGGAGCGTTCAAGTATTACGTAACGAATTTGGGGGGTCCTTTTGTAAAAAGTTACGATGCGGGGCGGGGATTGAATTACGCGTTATTGTTAATATTATTTTCGACTTTCCAGTACTTTACACCACATAATGGTAACTTTTAGGTATAAAGAGTCACTAGGTGGTCACGAAACGTTTTACTATTCTTGGGTACTAGTATAGCGCCTGGGGGTTTTCACCTCGGATTAGAGTTACAGTGAATGAATTAATATGATCGGTGTGGGATATTGTTTTTTAAACTATAAATTGCAATGTTTACCCAAAAAATTTTGTGCAAATTAAAAAACAAAAATTATTATGAAAAATTAATGTTTGACCATATATTTTCACTTTAAACAGTATTTTATTTTATTTATATGTTAAATCTTACCTGAGTAGACATATAGGAACATTTTTCAAAGATACCTGTGCATAAAAATAGCAGTAGGGATCTTGAACAGCAGGAGAGCGGAGCGACAGCTACTAATTACTATGAACAATGGAATTTCTCGGCCAGTTCAGTTGCAAGTAACACGTGTTCTGTGTGCTTCTATAGCAGTGAAAAGTTGGTTATTTTGTGAAACATTCTTGTATATTTTTGTACTGGAAGGTGTATTGATGACGACGTTTTTATATTGAACGTTTTATCTCACACACTGTTTTATTGTGTTTTTAATATTATTTTTATTACTCTTTAATGTATAAATATTCTACGGTTTCGATATTTGTAAATATGTGAGGAACATGTATACTAACTTTTTTAGTATAGTAGTTTTATTCTAAGAGTACATTGTCTTCACATATAATTATTTAACTAATGTAAACAAAATATTGTAAACCTGTTTTAAAAGAGTAAGTGTGGAGTTTCTTGTTTATTATACCAATAACAATGCATCAATTACCTGCTCCGGATAATTTATTGCAAATGTTATTTTGTAATTGCAAAAAAGGATGTGGAGCTGCGTGTGGATGCCGAAAAAGTGGTTTATACTGCAGTGTAGCATGTTTACAGTGCAGCGGAAATAGTTGTTCCAATACTTCACATATTATACAGATAGATGAAGTAAATTTTCACTGCTATAGAATCACAATATTCACAGAACACGTGTTACTTGCAACTAAACTGGCCGAGAAATTCCATTGTACATAGCAGCTGTCGCTCCGCTCTCCTGCTTTCAAGATCCCTACTGCTATTTTTATGCACAGGTATCTTAGAAAAATGTTCCTATATGTCTACTCAGGTAAGATTTAACATATAAATAAAATAAAATACTGTTTAAAGTGAAAATATATGGTCAAACATTAATTTTTCATAATAATTTTTTTTTTAATTTGCAGAAAAAATTTTGGGTAAACATTGCAATTTATAGTTTAAAAAACAATATCCCACATCGATCATATTAATTCATTCACTGTAACTCTAATCCGAGGTTTTACGGTTTTGAATGCTCCGGGCACTCTACTATACAGAAAAACGTTACGGCGCGTTACACGGGGGGTCCAATTATCTCCAAAAATTGCGTGACGTAATACTTGAACGCTCCCTAAGCTCCTGAAATTCAATGTTCATCATGAGCCTGGGACTCATGTTTTTTTTAAATCAGTTTACGGCAATAAATTAGACAGAAAGCTGATCTATTTAGAGGTAGAAGATTAGGGGTTGTAACGCTACTCGCTTACTTACAATTTAACAACTGAAGTATTGGACTCTCCATAATGACGGTCAAATTACCTGATCGTGGCTTTCAGCATATGCCACGGTGCCCTCCATCCACCTTCGATTAGTGAGAGTATGAATAATATGTCCCATTTTCCAGTTTTCATCCTTCTCTTCTTTTAGCAGCTTTATCCACATATCGGGGATGGCCATGCCTAGACGGTAATCGAAGCCTGTACCACCTTCCTTCACTGGCCGACCCGTTGCTGGCATTCCTGATACATCCTGAAATAAAACATTTTAATAAAACAATATAATATATATTCGCTTGAACATATATTACAATACCTAACTAACTAACATATTTATTTGTTTATTATATAACAAAAAAATTGCCGATATATGGAAATTACTTATAAAAAAGGATTTTTAAAAATACACAGAAAAAATCTTGCTTTTATTTATAAATTAATTTAAAACCTACATTAAAAAGCAAGTATTTTCGAAACAAGGTTTTAAATAAAATGTATTTTTCTGATTTAAATACTTTTATAGCACTTTGATTTTTATTTGTAGCTACATAAACAAAAATATAAAAAAATATTTCTAATTTAATTTAATTTGTTTCGTGTCTTACCTCAGCAATAGTAATAGCTCTATTGTCTATGCCATGGACGAGTTCGTTAGCCAACATCAAATACACGAGTGCTTCTGTATCTACATTAAGGCCGTAATATTCGTCGTAATGTCCCGAAAAGCCTTCGCCGATACCACGGCTGTGGTACAACATTGATGTTACACCATCAAACCTATTACCAAATTAAAATCATTTTTAATCTAAACATTTTATAATAACATGGGTCAGCAAAATTAGACCTTGACATTATATGAAATTTCGATGAGTCGAAAAAAAATACCAAAAAATAAATATAACCTATTCATGTTAATGAATAGGTTTAATAAAATAAATCAGTGGCGCTACAACCTCTTTAGGTTTTGGCCTCAGATTTCTGAATCTGTTTCAGGAATTTTTTTTTGAAAAGGTTTCCTTTTGTGTTTAGGAGACTGATTGAACGATATTTTTCATAATCTGTGGTTTTCATTTTTAATAACCATAACCATTGTTTCTTGCATTGGCTAACTGAGGAGCGACAATGTTTCGATTGGTTTATTACGTTGTTCGTGCAGTTTTGATGGTTTAATGGTGGAAATGTTGTATTGTATAGTATGTCACTGGCCTAAGTGTGTAATAAGTTAATTATTTAAATATGTTCGACGACCTGGTGGACAGAAAAACTGTGTCCAGTTTGTGTTTCCACCACACCAACTTTTTTCTATTTAGGATCATGTATATAATAAATAAATAAAAAATAAAAATAAAATTGAAATTATTATGTTAATTTACATCTGATTGTTGTTTATCAATCAAGTGCCATCTAGTGGCACTATGTGAACGTAACGCTCTCTGATCGCGCGGTATTTTTGAATGGATTAAAATTAATAAACAAAATAAAAAATGAGTATATTTACTATAATTATTACAAACGTAAGATTTATAACAAAAAAAAACGTAAAATTATAAGGTAAACGATTAGGGCAAAGAACGAATTTTTTTTGTCGTCGTGTAATAATCATGTTTTTGATATAAAGTTAATATAGTTTTATGTATACATTTGTTTTAAAGTCACACACAGTTTTCTAATTTATTAACTTTTATTATTAAGTAAAAATGAATATCAGATGTTGTGTATTAAATTATATTAAAAATTTATACCTGAATCCGTCAAACTGATATTCTTCTTGATACCATCGGAGATTCGACAATAAGAATCTTAGAACTTCAGTTCTGCAAAATAAATATATAATAATCAATATAAACAAAGTATATATTAGCCGTGGCCACAGAATTTTGGATAAAGCTGGAGGAGCCCTTTGGAAAAAGCAAATAAATATAATAATTTTAAATGGCATATTGTTAAGGCAAAGAGCGGTTGTTTCCGATCCGTTGCGACCCCGTTTATTATTAGGCTTTATTTTTATTATTAATAAAATCATATTATGACATCAGGCGCGTGGTTCGAGCTGTCAAAACATATGTTTGGTCGATGGGAAATTGAAAAACAATGATTCTACGAAATTAAGTTAAATATAACTTACTCTGAATAATTAAAAAGTCGACTATCCCACAAGGAATGTGTTCCTCTGGGACCATCGTGGAAGAAGCATGCCGTGGTGCCATCGAACTCATTGAGACCATCTAACGTGTTTTTGGACGCGTGCGAATGTACTACGTCTAATAATACGTATATTCCCATTTCGTGTGCTCGGTCAATTAGTTCTTTTAGTTCGCAGGGGGTACCATAACGACTACAATATAAATGAAAGTTAGTAAATAAAAAGAAAACCTTATTTTAGTTAATTGCTGAAAAATCAAGATGTTTATAGCCTAGATTTGCTATTTTGTGAAAGTTGAAACAAAAATTAGTAAATTGTTGGAAATTTATAAAAAATTGTATTCTGTAAAAGTTGAAAAAAATTCTAGTAAATTGTTGGAAAATTATAAAAATGCGTATTTTGCGAAAGTTGAAAAAAGTAAACCTGTATCCTTTACTATCATGAGTTTTAATAATAAAATAAATAATGTTTCGGTACATTTATTGTAATAAGATCTTATTATACGATATGTGATAGATTTTACGTGAAAGAGTAACAAATCTATCCATACTTACAAAATTTTACGTTTATATTAGTAGAATGTGCTTTATGTAAGACAAAGTGTAAAATTTTAGTTATAAAAAGTCTTTAAATACCTGCTTGCAGCAAAAAAGCTGGTAACTTGATATCCAAAGGATGCATAATAGGCATGCTCCATTATTGCCATTAACTGGATAGCATTATACCCTGAAAGTATTAAATTATAAGAAAAGAGAAAGAGATTTAGAAATAATTTATTTAATATTTTAAAATAATTCTTATGTTAAATGTCATACTGGCGAAACTTGGAATATCAATGTGGTTTATTTTTAAATAATTATAATAATTGGTTGTTGTAATGTCTGTAAACAGGTAGTAAATGTAACTTTAGGAATCAACAGTGTTGCCCTGTTAGTAATCAATAGTTTTTAATCCCTTTAAGTTTTCCAATTAAAATACAAAAAGGTTAAACTATAAAACCCATAATTTGTTAACAATAAAATAAACCAAGTTTAAGTTTAGGCTAAGTCAAATAAGCAATAAGCATTTAAAAATCTTTATTGGAACTAATGCTTTGAAGATAAATCAAATCAATCCATGAAAAGACTTTAAACATGTGTTACCAAGGCATGCTGATGATGAAGCGTTATAATACATACCAAGATTTTTGATCCGTTGCAGAACATTATCCTTAAATTCAGTGTATGTCCCAACTCTTCCTTCCGGAGTGGCAATACCAACGTGGCACTCATATATACGAAGAGAGGCTGGCCTAGGAACTTTCGGATGTTTGAATTTGTATGGCTGTGAAAGAATATTTTTATTAAAATAAATATAATAGAAGATGTACTGAGTTTTTAAATACAGTAGTTAATATTAACTTAATAAGTAAGTAGTAGTAAAAAGAGAGGCAGAGCTCTTTTTTGTAAAACAATATATATATTCCAATTACTCACATTATTTGGCCGGTAAATAAACTGTTGATATGTGAACCCCTCAAATGGTTTCACATAGCTTGCCCAGGGAGATACACGGTACAAATTATCATTAACAATAATTTGTACACGGCTCTGATGGTGTAGGGAACAGCTGCCATCTGCATTTGGTGGAATATACAGTTCCCATTTGCCATATTCTAACTTTTTAAATGGATGACTTTTGGTGTTCCAACCATCTGAAATTAATTAAAGAATCATTTAATCTAAAATTTATTATTGCAAAAATCTGATTAAAAAGACAAATGAATGAGATTAGAATTAAAACCAATTATTGAACAAGTTAAGCCTTAATTTTGTTAAATAACTTCATATTCTTATTGTAGTTGAGATTAGTCTTACTAAAATCTCCCTGAAGATGTATTGAATGAGCACCGGGTGCCCATTCCCTCCAAGTGACAGACCCATCAGCGCCAAATTGAGGACCATAGTATTTGTAAGCTGATGTGAATCCTTGTAATCCACCATCCCATGAGTTCATCCTATCCCAAATGTCTTTGAAGCAGCCATATCTGTGAAGACATTAGTTTAACCTTACTTCATACTTGAAATAACCGAAACTAAGTATTTTGTAATTATTTTTTCCTTAACGACCTTGAAAGGTGAACATATAAGTTACTACAATTATGCTAAGTACATAAAAGTAAAGTAGTAACAGTAGTAAATATTAACCTGTAAGATTTAATAAAAAAAATTGATAAAAAAATCCACTTGCAGTTATTATTAACTATGTAATAACAATTGATTATCACTTCGAAATAAGATATACATTCCGAAATTCGATTTTCGCGGTTCACGTTTGGGAATTGTGCTGTTGACAGGTTTGACCTTTGGTGTGACATTGTAGATGTAAAATTTGCCGCTTAAAGCGCTTTACTTTTGGTTTTTTTTATATTCAAAATTTTAAATATATACATGATTAAAGAAACACAAACTTTAACAGTATGGATTTATAAGTGAATACAATGTATTGTTATGTTTCTTTTGTTACAAATTATTATAATTCTCTTATTTTAAGTAATTACGACAAATGATCGAAATAAAATACGAAAGCATTACCAGCGCTAAGTTGTCAAATTTTTGTAAATACACAACATAACCTAGAGTCAAGAGTGACTACGAAAATCAAATTTTGCTTGATTTCATTTAATTTACAGCATTTTATCACAATCTTTCTTTAAATTAAGATAATGTATCTCACCTTCTACGTATTTCTCTTTCGTATGGCTTCAAATACCCATCTCGTTCAAATAATTTTTCAATATCAGGCACAGGCACGTCCATTGGATCCATTGCTGAATAATTACCTCCCATCCTATCGTATAGATATAGTACGTAGATTTACAATACCAGTTTATGCGCACGCGCACAGCCGAGGGTACCGATAATTCTTGATTGAATGACAAATAGGTTTAACATTTCTCATTTAAACCAATGATAAGTATAATATATTAATAACTGTGGTAAAAATATTATCATTAGGTTGAGAGGTCAAGTTGATTATCCTATCATCCACCTTGACAGTGCATCTTAATTATGGTCCTTTATCAAGTAAAGATTTTAATAAATTTACAATCTTGCATTACCTTCCACAATATTCAAACTAATATATAAAGTGAATGGACTTCATATTCATATTTGATTAATATGATGAATTCAGTATAGTAATTTCATATTAACACTATTTAAGTTTTTGATAGTGTAATGAGATAATAATATAGTACATTTATATTCTGGATACAATAATTTATTAATAATATCATATTTTTATGAAAATTATATATTTTTGACCTTCAAATATTCCACTAACTCAATTTTTATGATGCATTTGCATTTTATTTAGTTTCTTAATGATTTATAAAAAAAATTCACTACATATTGAGATATTAAGTAAATTTTGGAAATAAATAAATAATATCATATTTTATAAAATGTTGTTATGTAATTTTAAAGCTTTATATACTAAAATTTTTATAAAAAGTAGGGGAATTAAATAAAACCTATATATTACATCCTACAATATCTATTTTACTATAATAATGTGATAACTATAATAACAACTAAAATATATCAGAACCAGTTCTCTTTGCTCTGACAACAGCTTCATCAGGCTGTAATTTCTCTTCCTCCGATGGTTCAATGGGTTGGTCGTTTTCATCCAGTTTACCTTGCTTAAAGTCCATAACAATCTTTTTACTATACACTGCATCAAATAGTTGTTGAGATGTAAATTCACTTTGGATAACATCTTCAGTTTTATATGAGACATATGGTTTAAAAGTGCAATCTTTTAGGTCGGGTACAATTAGTTCAGGAATCATTTCTGGTACAGGTACAAATTTTCCATTTAATTCATATCCTGTATCACGTACACCTCGTTTGTCTATCGGTAGCTCGCGATTTGGCCCCATTTGTCGCAATTTGTGGAATTTGGAGCCTCTTTTGTTGGGAGTAAGAAATTTCCTAAAATTTCTCTTTCCTTCCCTTGGGGCGGAGAGAGAAATACATCTCTTTGATATCGAATTTATCAAAGGAACAATTTTGGACATACCTAATGTGTTTTAAATATTTTATTATCAAAGAAATCTATCGTTTTTGTAAAAATTTAAATTGTAACTTTAGCGATAGGTATAAGGTTATATTTTGGAAATACACCAAATATGTCAAGTGAATTTTGACATATATCAAACTTTGACTTGAGTCAAACGTCACGTCAATAATGCGAGAAATGAGTTTTTATAATATATTATATACTACTAGGATCACGCAGTATTAGAAAACAAAGGACCAACATGCTATTTTATGTTCGTTGGATATTTTAGCGAAGTTTCTATGCTTCTTTTGTTTAATCCCATCCATTTAGAATTTGACCATACAACCTGTATGCTGTTATAGTCTGGCTAATGAAATTAGATAATTGAATTATTTGAAAACTTTCGGATGGCAACACAGAATGTCATTAAATTTCTTAGGTCAGTATGATTTATTGTCTTGATACTTCATGCAATTACTTATTTTTATTTCTATTATATATTTTTTCCGAATAGTTAACAGGTATAATAGCCTAAACTTTGTTTTGTTTTTGATAGACTATTTCGTTTCTTTAGCAGGAAATCTAAACGATGTAGAAGGAGTCGATGCAATAGTACTACTATTGGTAAGTTCACTGATTTAGAGCAGAAAGATAGAATAAAATCTCAGAACCAGTACTTTAAAGAAATCGCAAATTTTTTGGATTCTGATTTTGATTATTCCGAATAAAGTTGTGTTATAATAAATATAGTTTTAGTTTTCCATGCAATGCTAGTCATTTTAAGTATTAATAGTAAAATACTAAATAGGTATAGTATTTAATTTCATAGAAATACAGTTGATATCAATGTAAAAAATAATAAATAAAATCAAGCATCAAGTAAGTTTAATCCACAAAATATATCAAACTTTTAGGGATACTATACTATTTTTTTTTTAATTTGCCGTGCTTTTTCGTTATCCTCTTTCATTAGCCACAATCTAGAGTGTGTACATAGTGTGTAGGTAAGAGTGAATATAACATTAAATTTGACCATCTTATGCAATTTTGAATTTGAATGCAATAGGTTCGCCTTATTGTACTCGCGTTTCGTACGGTGAGAGAGATTCCCGGAGCCCATCCAACACTCGCGGTGGACTTCACAAATGTTAAGGTGCTCAACTCCAACGTGAACGCTGTCCAATTTCACTTAGAGACTGCGATGCTGGCCTTGCTCTTTCCTACCGAGATTCAGATCTATCCGCCATTGGGTTCATCGGATCATTGTGGCCTACAAGTTAGCAGATTGGGATGGGATGGTCTTTTTTTGCGTCCTACCCCGTTGGGGGCCCATTTCCTTTTCTTCGAGTACTCCAGATGCCTTTGCTGACTCTGTCGCCGAGGTGGTCCTGCAGGGTATGGAACTTTTTATTCCATTCTCTGCGGTGCCGGTCGGTGGCAAATCCCAGCCTTGGTTAGGCGTTCTTGCAAAGCGGATTTTTTAAAACCAGCTGCCCACAGAAGTATTTCCGGACCAATTAGACTTAGGGTCCTTCAAGAAAAGAACGTACCATTTCTTAAAAGGCCGGCAGCGCGCTTGCGAGCCTTCTGGCAGTGCGAGTATCCATGGGCGGCTATCACTTAACATCAGGCGAGCCTCCTGCCCGTCTGCCTCCTGTGACATAAAAATTTAGATCATTTTACGCTTTAAGAAAAACATTTCCCTCACCTAAATGTCCAGAACTCGTTCTATAAACCATTAGGAACTATAAAACTTTTGTGTGTACTACCAGAACTCTATTTTTTTGTGCTCTCCTGGTAAGTGATCTGCTAACTTCATGGTCACAGTGCGGTCGTGGAGGAAGCGATACAGTTTTGACATACGGCGTAGAGAACTAACTTATTTGTAGAAGCGGTCTCGATTTTGATCTTGATGAATATTATCATAAGTATGTGTATTAGAAATGAATTTATGAATATATAAATATTTATATCCGATATTTTATATTAAATAAAATATACGAATACAAAATATTTATTCCCTTTTAACATAAATACATTAGCTCGATCATTTATAAATGTTTAAATTATCTTAAGTAACAATAGAGTGCATATTGGTTATTATTTATAACCACAAAATGGTAGTATAAGCTTTGCTTGTTAAGTTGTTTTAGATCAATAAAAATAAGGAAAACATACTATCGAACGCTTATATCAAGCGCGATTCTCGGGAATATAAATAAAATGCATTCAAAAAAATTCCAAATTGTATATTCTTATTTCCACTTATAAATAAAAACATTTTTGTATCAGCCAGCCAACACTACATACAAATAATTAAAACAATTTATATTCAATATTTATTTATTTTCAAACAAAATGCTGTAACAAACACTTTGTACATTAAACAAGATAATAAAAATTTCCATCACATTTTCAGACATTTTTGTGCAATTACAAATATTGTGATTTATCCATATTTTCTTGGCACACATTGTTACGGAAAGCACCGAAGCAAAACTATAAAAAAGGCGTCGGCGAGATAGAAACCTGAAATATCGCGACCATTTTAAAAGACCCAAGACATAGTGAAATAAAACCTTATTTCACAAAAGTTAAGGTTCATTATTGAATACATACTTTACGATTGTATCGATAGTATAGACGATTTTATGTGAGAAACTCAAGAGATTAAACCTTATTTAGAAAAAGTAAAGGTTGATTTGACAGCACCTTAAAACCATATACGATTTTATTAACGGCCTTACAGATTTTATATAAAGTATTTATTTATTGTATGATACCTTTCCCCAAAAACTACTTATTATTTGGGATAATTCATTCAAATATTAATATAGTAACTATACAGGAATGTCAGCACATATGTCGCTAAAACGTAATTCATAATTTCGATATTGCACAATTCCAGTTTAAAAAGCCAAAATTAAACTTTAAGTTTACACCTGCTATAGATAAATCTGGTTTTAACATATAACTAGCATCACACATATTGAACAGTCTTTCCCGCAAATTTAATGACAGATAAAAAATCGTAAAAATATTGTCAGAGTTTGTACAGAGGTAATTGTCAACTGTCAATGTCACGTGTCACATGGCCTCTCGTCATGGTTGTTCTCTATGTCGTCAAGCGTGTCGCTAGAGGAGTGCGTGACGTCACTAAGCTCGTCCATTTGCTTCTGTTTCTTTCGCACATTCCAATGAAGGCATTCGCCGAGTGAGTCGAACCAATCCGATATTTGGTCCTGCGCGCATATTGACGGCACAGGGTACACTGATGTCGTTACGTATAAACTGAAATAGGTATATAATAATTATAATGTATTGAAATTGAAGTGTACAAATATCGCTTTCATTTCTATAAAAAACATGCTTTTATTAAAATGGGTTTAGATATTCCAACGTAAACATTGCATATAATAATGTAATGAAATAAACTAATAATTTTCGATTCATCCCTTGTTTAACTAGATTTGAATAACTTCACAAATAAAAAAAAATTGCTGGAGTAATAATGTTTTAAAAATTTCGACACTGCGTCACTTGGTAAAGATCTCAGAGTGTTGGTAATACTGATTAGCCGGAATGTGCTTGCCTCATATCTCATGAGCGTCACAGAAAATCAAACAAGACCTAATAAACAGGGGATAAATTGAGGCGTCGACAATTTTCAATAAATCATTTCATCAGTTGATATTTGTTAGGTATGTTGTTAATTATTATAGTTCGACAGTTTCGATATTAGTTGTGGTTAAATGTAAATTATTCAATAAATTCGACGATTTTTAAAAAAATCCTTGGGATTAATTGCTCCAGTTCAAACAATTTGTATGACTCAAAACTTGGCGATTAAAAAAGAGTGGCGGAGAGTTTCTTGCCAGCTCTACGCTCAACTTGCGAACTGGTATTAAAAGTAAATTTAGAATCAATTTAACATCTTTTCTGTTGACGTTCATAAGTGTACTTGTTTACCTATATGAATAAAGTTATTTTGAGTTTGAGTTTAATTTCCATTACAATTACGAAAAGGTTTCCATAAAATAAATTTTAAATAAGAATTACCTATCGCCATGCTGTAACGCTTGTCGGTTCCTTCCATCAAAAGATACCCACATTGCATTCCTTGCGTCGGGGGATAAGGAAATCTGAAAACATAAAAATTTTGATACAAAACTGCAATTATTTTGGATATTTTTTAAATTATTATAGGTATTTAATTAAATTAGTAATCTTATTTTTTAATAGATTTTCTGTATACCATATCTATATTTTATATATCGTCCTATACACACTTTGAAAAATAAAACAAAAGAAAAAATCATCTAATTGTAAAATCCACACCAAAACAGATTAAAAATTAGAAACATATACATAAATTACTGTTCAAAAAAGTTAGAAGAATCTTAGAATACCTTGAGTTCAACTCCAGCTGGAACCACTATGGGTCGGAAAGAGAGCGAATGTGGGCAGATGGGCGTGATCATGATGGCAGGCACCGATGGGTGGATCATACTCGCACCTGCAGCCACCGCGTATGCCGTACTACCAGTTGGAGTGGACACTATAAGCCCTAGAAAAAAAATGTTAATTTATGAATGAATAAAATGCTCGAATGGTTTTGGTCTTTGGACTTGGACTGCTGTGTTATTTAATTTCTATGATATCTATTGAAATCAAACGACAATTATAAAAATAATAAATACGGCGTGTGTGTATTACTTAATAGTTAATACCATATTTATTCTAAGGAAACAAAGAATTATTTTAAAATTTAATAAGAGGTTATTGTGAGTCAATACATATGCTGTCTGAAACATTTTTAAATTCCTTCATACATTCTTGTTCGTAGGTTCGATCCCCGGCCGTGCAGTGAAGGAATACATCATGAGGAAACCTGGCATACCCCAGATATATATGACCCAATAAGTTGATGGTATGTGTCAGGCACAGAAGGTTGATCACCTGTTGTCTATTAGAAATTATCAGGGAACATATACAGAAATCTGAGGCTTAGACCTAAAAGGTTGTACGCCATTGGTAAATAAAATAGTGGTAATACTATGATTAATGTAAATTCTTCAGGTCATAGACTATATGAACTCTATGACCATCTGTGTGTAAGTTCGAACCCCATCTATGCATTATTTTTCTATGGTCAGTAAAACTGTTTACGGGAATTCAACACGCTAAATCGATATAAACATTTATATTATTAATAAGAAAAATGTTTGTTTTTATTTTAAAATGTATGTTTCATTAACAAGTGAAATTATTTTTTTCTGTATATAAAGTATTTAGTTATGGCAACATTTCAATAACGTTAAAAACATTTTAAACTTGTCCCGAAAATTATTTAGTAATATTTCTTACCATCTCCCTGCACCGAGGTAATATGTTTTCCATCCAAAAAGAGATCGATATTAGAGATATAGGGTGAAGGACCCCTATCCACGACTACTTCGTTCAGCACCAGAATTGTCGTGGGCTTCTTCTTGTCTTTGTCTTCCGTTCTCTTTCTTAACACCACACATTGAAGACGGGAGCGTAATGTTAACGCCGCGTGACCTGAAAGTTAAAATTAGATTTAAAATAAATTTGAATTATACTTAAGTAACTGACTCGGCAAAGGTTGTTTTGACTTTTAAATATTATTACAGTACTAATATTACTAATGCGCAGAGACAGTGAGAACTTGGAGAAAGTGATCGTGGTTACACAGACGGCAAAAGATCACGTGGCAGTTCACCAACCAGATGGACCGATCAAGTGAAAGACTCATCGTCCTCAAAACTCACAGTACTAAGAGAGGCGCTGAACCGAAACCGGTGGAAATAGATAGTCCGCTCCAGACGCTTTCTTGCTGACCACAACGCTCAGCCATATTATGACATGTGGTTGGTGGGAGAAGACTGAAAATTATATGTATTCCTATTCTTAAAAAAGAATTGGGGTGGGTCACCCTTATCACTTAGGGATATAGACAATAACGAACGACTCTCAGACATACCAACTAAACACTTTAATTTAATATATTTGATTATTTTTATTCTGTGCCAGAAACATGTCGACTTTTTGTTTCGAGTAATAATACAGTACAATTAAAATAACTAAAAGGGAGGGCAACTGGCGGCCTCATCACTTTCAAGCGATCTCTTTCAAACAACCACTGTTAAGGAAGAAGAGTGCAAAACTATATATGATAAACAATTACTTAGACATAAAGAATGGAACAAAACAACGCAATTAAAATTGAAAAGGTAAGAAGGAGTTAGTATAAAAGTTAAAAAGTCGATGTGGGCAGGTAATGCTTGAACAGTAGAGATTTAAAGGAAGAATGAGGAGAAACCAAGCGATTAGGGATACTGATTACCCTGATCGAACTGATTACCCAAACTAAGATTCATATTTCTCATCTAGCATCTAATATCTAAAGAAATGAATAAAATATTACCTTCTAAAACATTCATAACTTGGTCCTGGAAATTATTAAATTCGAAAGGCGTGAGGAAACCCAGCGAACCCAAGTGGAATGCCATCACCGGTGGTACAGATTGCTGAAATTAACAGTCATTTAAATAAAACATATAACACTCGCTCGTACGTAAGGAAAATATCGTGAGGAATCGCATGCCTTAGACACAAAAAGTCGACATGTGTCAGGCAAAGAAGGCTGATCAGCTAATTGCCTAAAAATGATCACGGAACAGATACAGAAATCTGAAGCCCAGATTTTAAAGGTAGCACTATTGGTGTATTTGAAATATAAAATATGTCTAAAGTCACACAGTTAAAGTAAAACCAAAACAGACGTAAAATTGTGTCTTAATCTTGTTGATATTGAACAAATAAAAAAAAAATTTAGGTAACACAATGTACACTTATGAACGTCAAAAAGAAATACACATTAAATGCTGCTAAATTTACATTTACTGCCAGTTCCCAAATCAAGGGCGTAGAATGGAAGAGAAGAACTGGCAATAAACACTCCGCCACTCTTTTTAATCATCACCTTGGTGATTAAAAAGAGTGGCGGTTGTTTTTTGTTTTACACAATGTTGGTAAGGACCTGCAACCATGCTGGTTTCCTCACGATGTATACCAAGCAAGTGAATTGCGCAAATGGCTAAAGGTGCGCTTACACGGGCAACTAAAATTGCTCAATTCCAGTTAAGACTCGTCAACTATGACGTCACGACTACATCAAGCAATTTACGGCAACGGCAATAAGCATCAATACTGCGCAATACAATATTGAGCGATATGGCGCAACTTCATCAACTAGGCAATACAGTCCTACACGAGCATTTCAGTATTCGCTCGCTATGGATGACATTGTTCTTGCTGCGGCGGCTTGTAGCGCTTTTTTTTATTATTAATCAAAAACAAAAAAGAAAGAAAAGGAATAGGCGTATCTGGGTGCGATCGTTTTTGGCAAAGAGGCAGCAATTTTCATTGTGTTAAGAATTAGATGATATATTATTCAAAAACTTTACTAGAATGTCACGAACAGACTTTGAATTACTATTGAATAAAGTTAGCCAATTAATTACGAAACAGACGACCAACATGAGAGAACCAATTTCTGCATCAACAAAACTTGCTTAAACCCTTCTCCGCGGTAGCAAGACGGCAATCCGCAAAACAAACAAGTGCGGATGAGATATATATACAAAAATTGCTAGGAATTTCCAAGTCCATTTGATATTCGTCAATTCGTATCTGCGACATTGAGCGATATGAAATATCTGGAGCAATTAGAAGCAATATCGCCGAAATAATTTATTGAATTTATTGAAATTGCTCCATTAATTGCTCCAGATCGGTCCATTCGTATCGCCGAGCAATTATTGCCCTCGTGTAAGCGCACCTTTAGGCTAGCACTAAGTAATCCAAGGAGTGATAAAATTCCAAAAAATCCTGTATCGCGTACGCTGAGCAAGGAATTGACAGTACTACAGTGTTTAAGAAGACCTGAATATTTACAAAAACGTCCGCAATATCATATGTAATCACATAATTAATAAAATAAATATCCATCCGAATTACAACGACTTGTTACATGTATTATTTTTCCAAACACAAAAATTTCCCATAATTTTTTTATATGTTTAAAAAGTTACCTGAAATAATGAGCTAGCGTGCAACAAGGTCCCATCACCACCCAAACAAATGATAAAGTCAATTTTATCAGTGAGGTCATCCGTGCCTGCTCGGAACGTCATCAATCTCTCCTTTACCGCATTGAAGTTCCCATATTCTGAAAGTATCCTATCTTCTAGCACAGACGCCTCCACGAATACCACCATACTTTTGTCCTAAAATAAAAAGAAAACACATTAAAAACGACTAGGTTTATTAGCTAGTTGGCTACGTGAATGGTTCGTTTTATGTTTAATGAAATGTTTTTGTATGAGTGTATTTGTAAAAAACGTGAACGCGAGTCACATTTATTATAAATTCAACTATAAAAATAATAAGTTAATTTGCCTTTTCACAATTTCGCATTTTACAAGTTAATACAGGTATTGACAATGTTTGAGAAACTTTCGCATTTTACAAGTTAATACAGGTATTGACAATGTTTGGTGCCTATTAGATATACAAATAAAAAAAAATATCTGATACAATTTGCGATGTAAAAATACCTACGTCGTTTTATAAATTATAATAACAATAATTAAAGTATCTCAATCTGTAGATAAAAATAATATTCACCTTAATTTTCAAGGTATAATAAGAATTATATATATGTACTTGGAAATATATAGGGTGTGGTCGTAATGAATGGAATACCTGCAGGTAGAGGATGTTGTGGCGGTTCAGAAAAAAATAGGTTTTACGTTAAGTAAAAGTCCCTCGATTTTCGAGATATTCTTGGATATATGCGCTATCGAAGGTAATGTATGTGATTTTTGGGGCATGGGTTTTTTTAACAAAGATCTAACTGAAATTTGATGTTTTACTTATTATATTATGTCAGCTTAAACTTAGGACAATATCTTTTATTTTATATAAACAAAATCATCGAAAGCGATATTTGAACTTATCACTTTATGATAGGATTTCATAACAATGGATAAAGATTACAACTATAGATTAAGTGAAGGTTTTTAGATCCAATATGCGTCACATAATGTGAAGCTCTGGAAATGTGTTGGAGGTGGATTCTTAGAATATAACGTCACATAACGTCCCACAACGTGAAGCTCTGGAAATGTGTTAGAGGTGGATTCTTAGAATATAACGTCACATAACGTCACACAACGTGAAGCTCTGGAAATGTCTTGGAGGTGGATGCTTAGAATATCTTGGACAGCTAACAAAACAAAGATATAAAAACATCGACATTCGAAACTTTGTTACCAACGGATCCTGAGCTTTGAACATATAACACGCACTGTTCCGGAAAATTTAGTTTTTTTTGTGATTGGCAGAATGGGCACTAGACTAGGCTGGATCAATCAACAGGACAATACAGGTCCTACCAGTTTAATAACATAAAAGTTAAAGTACATCAAAACCGCTATATTGTATATTTCATTTGCCAATATTAATAAATCATAATCATAAAAAAAATGCTACGTATTTTTTATGTTTTCCCTACAAAAAGGCAAATCTAAATATTTACTTACTCAAGTAACCTAATACAAAAATAACAAATATTTCATTGTTTCAATATTATTTATCACGAAGAATATATCGAATAAACTTTAATTACTTTATTTTATTCTTTAGCTGGCATCACTGCCTACTAATTCCAGGTTTAGTAAACCATTTAAAAAAAAATGTTATCTGTATATATTTTTACTGTTTATGATGTAAATGGACGTAATTACCACTCGCCGTTAAACCACTTTTAACGTGGAGCACCTCACTTAATAAAATGAATACATTAACAATAAAATGTATGTATAGACTCAGATGTTCAGACTCGTATTGAAATTGAAAAATGTGCCTGGCCAAAAAGGTTTGCCATCACTGACATGTCAAAAATTGATAGCAGACAGAATTCTACGGAATTAAAAATCAGGGTATAGGCTAAGACCAAAAAAGACTGTTAAATCTTTGTTAGATTAAATACTTGGTAGTTCCTTACATGAACAAGCCAGTGTACTAATTGTACGAATGGTGTGATGATGGTAGCGTCGTGTATCTTCTTGATGACGAGAACAGTCAACGGCGGCTTGTACCACGTCAGCCTCTGGGACGCCGGGTCTTGGATCTGCCTGAAATTGTTAAAGTCCATTTTTAGTGTACATCGGGAAAGACTTTTACATTACATATTGCGTGGAACAAACATTGTTACTTATTGCATCTCCCAAATGGTAAATAAATGATCAGATTGAGAAGCTACACTAATACTTAATGATGTTAGTTATTCAGATAAGCCTTTCAATGCTATGTTTTTGTTATTTTCTACGAATTTTTAATTAAGACACTTTGTAGCTTGTACACGTAAGTACCATACGCGCCTGTAACGCGATAATACATTAGAAAGATCCCTTCCCTAGCAAGAACTTTCTACCTAATTAGGACGTGTTTATTAATTTTAAATATAAACCTATTCCAATGTTTCCTATGTTATACAGCCATTATCTACTATATAAAAATAAGTCGGGTTTTCCTTCCTGACGCTATAACTCCAGAACGCACGAACCGATTTCCACGGTTTTGCATTCGTTGGAAAGGTCTCGGGCTCCGTGATTTATAGCAAAGAAAATTCAAAAAAAAAAAGAAAAGCGGGATCACCAAACGAAATGTTACATAAAATGAAGCCATCAGGTGGCGAAACGGAGTTCGCCGAGTTTGCTAGTAAGTTATATAATTTATTTTTTTATATCAAAGAACTACTTAAGAGACAAAACATTCATATAGGGACTAAAAAAACTATATAATTGTTTACGCTACTTGTTTCAACTTTCATAGTTGAATCTTTCATAGTACAGCCTATTGCCTCATAGGCAAAAATCACTTGAATGATGTTAAGTGAATAAACATGGACTAGCAAACAATAGCATTAAATTGAGTCGCCATAAGACTAAGGGTCTGTTTCACAATGTACGGATAAGTTCTACATAAGTTCCAAATTAGCTATTTATTACTTATTGGTAGGATAAACACTATTGTTGCGTTTCACGACAGTGAGATAGCGCTATTCGTCACATAAGTCCGTTATAAGTCCGATGAAGTGTCAAATAGTACAATTTAACTTCCAAATAATTTATGTGTTGCATAGCTATTTGGTACTTTATCCATACATTGTGAAACAGACCCTAAGAGTAACACTCACAAACGTGACCTAACGGTAACAGTCTAAAGGGTAAAAAGAACAAGATGTCTTTTAAAACGATTACACGGAAACAAAAAGAATAATTATTTACAAACATGGCAGCAGAATGGTAAGATAAGTAGACATAATATTTTTGACATGCGTCATAAACGATGTTGCGAGCCCTAAGTGCGACTTCCATACGTCAAAAAACTATTGGATTTTGACATTTTTCTTTATGTTACAGGAGGTAGACGGGCAGGAGGCTCATCTGATGTTAAGTGATACCGCCGCCCATGGACACGCACTGCCAGAAGGCTCGCAAGCGCGCTGCCGGCCTTGTAAGAATTGGTACGCTCTTTTCTAGAAGCAGCAGCTGGTTCTACATAGTGGTGGTTCGCGGCAGAAATTGCCTTAAGAATCGCTCAGTTGTGGAACGACGGACGTCAAGGTGATACGGATAGATGACCAAGATGCAGAGAGATCCCACATCTCATCGCAACGCCAAGGGATCAAGCCGCTCGGAAAGTGACTGGTCGTTGACGATTCGAATCGCTCTTAAGATAACCATACTTACATAACCATTGCAGAGTTCTTCATTATTCTTCCACATGGTCCAAACTGCTGGATGGGTGAAGGCGCGTTCAGGGACCTCGTCCGCCTGGAAACGTAACGAACATTCTTTGGACACACGTTCAAATAAAAATTCTTTGACTGTCCTCTTGCTGACTACGAGTGGTTATAGCACTATGTAATTAAATTCACGTTTATATCTAAGTTTAATTCTTACTAATATATTAAAACATAATTGCTCTTCATTTGCAACCTCTCACAGACATAGCGCAAATTATACTGACTTAGAAGTGGTAATATCAAAAATTTTGAAGAGTGGTGATGTGTTCACTGACCATTATATCCGGTAGAGCAAAAAGTTGCATTCGTGATTCAAAATTTTGCTCTTACATATTAACATATTCAAGGCATTCACTTCACATTCAAGTCAAACAGTGGCCAATTAGAATTTCTCAATTTTTCTTACACGAAATAATTATTAATCAAAACGTAAAAACGTATACTGTCTATTAAAAATTAAAATGTAAATTTACTTCATTATTATGGTTTAGTTTCTTAGGTAGTACAATATCACTATATACAAATTCTTTTGTAATTATTTAACCATAAAACACTTGTTTTTTTAAATATATAATTCACTACGGTCATCCTAGAGCAACCATAGACGACCACGGACTGCACTATAAAGATAAGATTCATAAACAAGATATATTGCTAAGTCTTACTCCCTTACGTCAAAAATATATTGGAATTGGTCAAATGGGAGTCAGACGTCAAGTATCGTTTCTGAATCCTTAGAGTAGGTACTTTGGGCAAAACAAAAATTTTTTTAAATATCTTCACATATTTTTGTCACACCTTACCGTATACACACAAAAACTTCCTTAGTCCAGTTTTCCAATGAATTTAAATATAGGGGCATAGATACATAAGTAATTAAAACAAACGCATCATAAAACTAGATTTTGTTAATACTAAAACTACACTAGAATACGACCAAAATCTACTTCCAACCTTATTTTTATATTCTGTGAATAAAACACAGATTAAATTTCAAGAAAACTCGACCTCTTCCGACCTTCATTTTATGTTATGTCTTATATACACTCGCACGCGTATTTCTTATAACTATTTTTTTTACAAATTGCGATAAAATACATTAATTCCAACAATAATTACCTGAACGCATCGCGATAAATAAAACGACTGTTACCGCCTTACGTAAACTGAATAAATTAAAACTGAATAGGTCGTTTTATATTAAACGATACATGATGTTAATTCACGGTAGTGTGTAAAATAAATAATAAGCACACATGCTCAAGGACTGTGAAGTTTACAAACACTGTCGAAGATGTATTTTTAAAACTATTAAATACCAAATATTTTAAGGGACAAGCGGCAAGCGGGAAGTCACTTAAGTTCTTACCGCCGTCTATGGGCACCTGCAACACCAGGAAGTTCGTTGCCGTTAAGTGATATCGCACATGGACACTTACATTGCCAGAAGGCTCGCCAGTGCGTTGCAGGCCTTTTAGGAATTGGTACGCTCTTTTCTTGAAGGACCCTAAGTCGAATTGGTTCAGAAAAACTTTAGTGGGCAGCTGGTTCCACAAAGTGGTTGTACTGGGGAGCTCCCGCCATAGGTGAGAACAGTACTCCATATTTGAGTAGCGTGATATAGTATAGTTACAGAACCTATCCAGGACATAACAATTTCTCAATTCGAACTTGTAGTTCCTGGGATCCCGATATCGCACTAAGGGAACTGTCAAACAATATTGAATGCCATACAAATAAGTATTCAGATTTTCAACAGTACATTTCAAGGCTTTTGTAACCTGTTACAAACAGGAACTAAGCCTAATTATTATTTTTTCTCCATTGTGTAATTTCCGATCACACTGTACATAATCGAACATTCTACGCTCGCAATGCATTGACTTGTAACCTCTGATTAAAATACGCGTCATCGTACCCAATCTATTTACATTATAATCAATAATTAAAATATTCCCAATGATAGTCACAGATTACTAAAAATAGGTCGAAATCTATGTTTTACAAAGATCTAGAATAAACTAAAAAAATCTAGACTTTCATAGCTAAGACGGCTAAAAATATATTGGGCTTTTACATACAGGAGGGAAAAACTTTACATAGACTATACTCGGAGCTGGCAGGACACCTGGAACATTTGTGTCTAAAGATATACAGATTATTAACGGACAGTACAGGCGGTGTTCTCTCCACAAGTCTTAAATACAAAACCATTTAATTGTAAAGCTCTAATCGAATACATTTCGGTCCAGCCGTATATGAAGAGTTTAATTTCACACACACAGATTTATATATATAAAGATTTAAGTCTAGACATACTTATATCGAACTAACGACCTCAGGGGGGAGAGTCGCACGCTGAAGTCACTAGGCCATCACTGCTCATAGATATTGGTGTACAATTATAACTTAATTAAAATAAAACAATTATAGCTACTAAAGAACAAAGCTGGAAACTAAAGTTCATTGGTACATTAAAGAAAACAAAAGGACGCAATTTGGGCAAAGCGGCCTATGCAATTAAGTTTATAATATAACATATTATATAAAAAAATCAACCTTCGATCCAAGTACTCTTCACGCGCTGCAAGCAACACCGACTTTCCCGACTCATGGGAAAACTGCCGACGGAGCATCACAACTATATCTTATCACTTGTGTCCCACCAAGCCAACACTGACGTAACCAAGCAAAAACATTTAACACACCACCGAGGTCCGTTCAAACCGAGGACTGGCATCGGAATCGCTTGCGCATCTCAGACTTGTGACAATTGTGACCTTGATTTCGCGATTACGGAGATTCGACGCAGGCCGATCTTATCGTTAGCCTTTTCAAATTCCAACACGGAATCTCTGTAGGGTGAACAAACTTGTATTTGAAACATGTTTTGACTTATGGGCACTGTGGTAATTGCGAGGTATATAGACTATAGTCAAAACCGTTTACGATATCGTTTCGAACAACATACCGGTTTGACCAAAATCAAAGATCCCGGATGAATTCTATTGTATTAGGTACTTAATAACAACGTCATCGGCTGTCGCGACTATCGGTTTTTACGACCTAACATGAGTAGTCCCTTCGATGTCGTTATAACAGGTTTTGACTGTATATCCTACATAGTGTTGGTAATCTGTTTGTAGACCTTTAGCTAGACTAAACACAGACAAACTAAAATCGTCTATTTCTAAAAAAAAAAATCAGTGGCGCTACAACCTCTTTAGGTCTTGGCCTCAAACTTCTGAATCTGTTTCATGATCATTTTTTTAAATCTATTAGGCAAGTAGGTGATCAGCCTCCAGTGCCACACGCCGTCGACTTTTTGGGTTTAAGACATGTCAGTTTCCTCACGATGTTTTCCTTCACGGTTCGAGCAAATGTTAAATGCGCACAAAGAAAAAATTCCATTGGTGCACAGCCGGGGATCGAACCTACGACCTCAGGTATGAGAGTCGCACGCTGAAGCCACTAGGCCAACACTGCTCTATTTCTGAGGTACATTTTCTATATAAAAATTTACACAATTAGATAGCAGAAATACGAGATGAAGAAAGTTGGTGGAGAAGATTGGGAGAAAATGCTCAAGACTAAGAATGGAGCCAATTGGAGGAGGCCTATAAGAGGTCCTTGAAAAAAAGATATTATTTACTTATTTAAGTGTGTGTATATTTTGCAAATGTTTCAAGGGATAAATGACGCTTAATCTAATATATATAAAATTCTCGTGTCGCGGTGTTTGTAGTTTGTACTCCTCCGAAACGGCTTGACCGATTCTCATGAAATTTTGTGTGCATATTGGGTATGTCTGAGAATCGGACAACATCTATTTTTCATCCCCCTAATTGTTAAGGGTAGTCCAACCCTAAATATTTTTAAAAAAATTTTTAGATAAATTTTTACTTTTTTATGATACAGCATTAAAAAATACATACAACCCCTAATTTTCACCCCTCTTTTTTATTAAAAATCATATACATGGCAAAACGACGTTTGCCGGGTCAGCTAGTTACTATTATAAGGTACAAGAAATAAGAAAAACATGATATAATTAGTGGCAATACAATTCTTTATAAGTCTTGGTTATTACAAATGTTTTACTTTTTTATCGAAGACGGATAATACCGACCTATTTTTTATTGTTAAGTAGTCTGTGCAGTGTGCATACTACGTTTTGGATCTAACTCTTCCGGCCTCATGTATTCAGGAACAATTGGTGTTAATTGTACTAAGAAAATTACGCACGCACAACAAAAAATAATAATAAATTAAATAACTTTTGTAACATTTATAGTGTTCGTGATCATATAAAATATTAACCTTGGTGTTTATTACAAAAAAATGTATATTATATATTACAATAAATTATAATAATGTAATTCTTAGGAAAATATACTAAGCGCGAACTAATACTCCCGTATATCAATAGTTCAATGGCATCCTCATATTAATTAAATATGAGGCTGCTATTGCACAATTAACATCTGTGGTCAAACAATAATATAGAGCCGAAATGCGTCAAATTGCCGACCGGATATACTCGGCATTACAAAAATAAGCAAAAATTACAATTGTTAAAATATAATATTTTTATAAGCTTTTTAGTTTTTTTGTAATATACATATTAAGGTTGGTAATTATATAATTTTTATTTTACAAAATTTGGTTATGCTCTTCTTGCATATAACGCATCATATTTATTTTTTTAGTGTTTTCCCTTACTAGGGTTGCATGTAAGAGATCGCTTGTTAGCGATAAGGCCGCCCGTTGCATCTCTTATAATTTGTATTTATGTTATTTGTTTTTCGATAACTGTAACGAAGTGTAAGTAAAAAAAATAATATCAAATGCGATGCTTCTTTATAGCACTGTAGTGCTCGGCGCAATACCGACAATTCACCAGTATGGAGAGTCAATTATTTTTTCAAAATTTACTGGCGCCAACGCATATCAGCAGACATGACAGTTTACTGTAAACAACATCGTAAATTTTCTCATAACATTGGCGCGGAAATTGGAAACTATTAACAGTTAAATTAATTAAACATAAAGGTAATTAAAAAACTTAATTTACTATCTATCAAACTTAAAAGGCAATTAATTTTGCTAAGGCTCCTATATACAAAATAGGTACCTAGATTATTCAGTACGCTAGAATTATTGACAAACTTATTGTTTCAGTCTAATTGTACCGTATCAAATGAAGTACTCACCTGTCTTTTAGTGACAGCGTAAACACAAATTGGCAGAAAGAGATGAAAGATGCATTATTTCACATTAATAGGTAAAAATAAACAAAGGAACACCGACGATGACGCTGCAATATTGATACTGCCGACTATATATGACGACGGGTCGGGTAGGTCTATCTGGACGTCTACAGATGAGGTCTACCTGGATCCAGGACGTACTAGAGACGGGATATATCAGAACTTAGGTATGCAAGTGGAGAACCATGGTTTCTGCCTTCGGGGAAAAGTAAATGAATAAATTAATATTTATGCAAAGTTGTGCAATAAACCATATCAATAACAAGGAACTATTCGAGAATATTGAAGTTTTAAAATAACGATAAGATTACTAATAGGTACAGTAGCACTACATTTCATACGTAACACAAGTCGCAATTCATACTTGAAGTGTTGAACAATGCGAAAATAGTTTGGCACTTTAGACAATTTAAAAATACGTTTTGATACTGATAACATATCATATCTATGTTTAGACTTTGGTTTTAGATATCCTTCGTTCAAATCTCTTTAAATCACTGCAATATATTTTTTCCTTAAGCAAAAAATATTAGTTTCTATATACAATAATCCTATAACTATATAACGCGTTATGTACAAATAATTCACGTCTAACTTTTGATGTTAAAGAGGATTTAAGTCGAATATTCAAAACTATGTAGTATATGTGCGTACAAATCATGTCACGGTACAGAAATATAACGTAGCCCCGCGTTATATACAATCGCGTAATATGAAAATGCGTTATAAGATTACCGTGTTGGTAGGGGTTTGATGTATATGTGTGTTAAATACATACAACAATTTCTTTTTTCTAGTAGCTTTCATTACTGAGATATGCGCAACGATTTGCGACTTGATTCTGGCCCGAGAGAATCTCTAACCACCAGCTATACGAGCTATACAATGGGTGCCAATTGACAGGTCTATAAAACGCTAAAGTGGAAATTGGTGGGCCATAGGCTCCGGAGAGATCCAAGTAATATTGCCAAGCGAGTCTCGACTAGAATCCTCAGGGCAAAAGGAAACCCGGCCGCCAAAAACAGACCTGGCAACGAAGCATCATTGCAGAGGGAAAGAAAGCTGGAATGACGTGGATTGAAATTAAGACAGCCACCCAGGATCGATCAGGCTGGTTTTCTACGTTGGATGCTCTCTGCCCCACTAGGGGACATAGGGCTTTAAGTTTAGTAGGTCAAAAGGCATAATTATATGCATATTATATATTAATATTAAATGTATATTTTGTCTGGACTATCGTTCCTATTTTTTTATTTACATACAAATAGCATCAATATATATATATATATTTAGTTATAATATAAAGCATACCTTTAAAAGGAGTCGCGAGGGTTCCTTGCCAGTTCTTCGACCGTTCTGTTACACAAATTATTTGAAAACTGGCAATAAAGTTTGCCATGATAATTATATTCACGTTTAAACTGTTATGTACATGAATAAATTATACTTCAATTTATAATCTAAAACGAGCTTACGTATATAAAACACGTGTCGATAATGAGAACCGCAATGTGATGACTATTATATTATTATTATAGTATATATAATACTCACATGATTTATTTACAATTTCCGTTGCTAAGTATATTTAACGCAGAACAACCGGGGGGTCTTAGATTCGGTTAGAAGTAGTATGGATTCCCGGGGACTGCCTCACCCGCTGCCTCAGTCTAAAAAAAGCTGTTTCAGAGGCAGCGGCCGCCTAAAAAAAAAAAAAAAAAAAAAAGTTTGTACTCTATCCCCACTAAACAGGCTGTGCGGAGTCGATAGCACTCACTCCCGAAGCGATATTTCTCTCTGTTTCGAAGTTAGGTTTTTCTATACGTTGCTGATTAATCTATTTACTAATCACCTGTGTAATGTCTCGCCCAATACGTTACCCTCATTTACTAATTATCGAGTCAGTTTCGTACCTATCATTAGCTAATTATCATCTGCATTTACCTGCATTGCACCAGGAATGGACGGGAAAAGGATTTGATTGAAAATTAAAAATATGATTACCATGTTTTATGTGTTTATTTGCATTACGTTACAGTACAATTTTACTAGTGCCATGTCATTTCTTGGCGAGTCATACGAAAAGTTTCTGAGGTAATCTTCCAAACTGAAACCCCAAAACTTGTAGTACAAATATACCACACAATACTCCCCACATAACGCAGAATAGATATCCTGAACGCTAGCTGTATTATAGCTCCACACCCGACAATTTCTTCTTAAAAAATCCGTTATTACTCTAATCGGTTTACGGCCAAAGGAATCAAAATATTCTCCAACTTTTTCGTGGTTGATATGAATAGCTACCCAATGAGAGCCTGGTTGTGAGTCAGGGTCGAGATTGCATATAATAAATGCGGGTAAGT